ACAGGAAATTTAAGGTAGTGAAAAATTTACTTATCTTGTGACTGTTTTGTTTCTTTTTGTCATACATTCCAATGTATTATTGTATAAATAAGTCTATATTAATTCAAAAATCATTTAATGCCCCTTTATTTTGCAATAGTTATATTTTTCACAATTCCTTTTCCATATAAATAAAAATATAATTAATATTTATCAGTGATTTGTAATATGAGCTCTGTCATATAAAGAGTATATATGTGTATACATATGGAAATTAATAAAAAATTACACATAGCTCATTTCCCTTTTTGCCTATTTTGTTGCATTATTGCATCTTCATTTTCTCATATCATTCTGTTTTAATCATTATATTAAATGTGTTGTTGATTTTTTGCTAAATTATCATTTCATTGTTGTTCTGAATTGCTTCCAAAGATACTATTTTATCTTTGGTTTTGTCATGAAAAAACTCTCTTCTTTCTATTTTTAATTATAGTGCCAAATTTGACAGAAATTTTGGGTTAGTGTTAATATGTGTGAATTATTGTCTTTGATGCTTTTTTGTCTTTACTAGAACATTATGTTTTTGATAAACATTTTATCACAAATATATTATCGGTTAAATTGGTACATTTTAGATATACATAATGATCACATTTATCATAGGGAATTTGTAACTGTACATGATACATCTTTATTCTTCATTTCTTACCATTCCCCTTCCCTCTTCAATCCATCTTCCCTTTCTTATTTGCAAAAATTTGTTTCCATTTTTTCCTTGTATTTTCTTTTCCCTTCTTTCCTTTCCCCCTCTCCCTTCACTAGTTCCTTTTCTTATTTGAAATTTTCTTCCTATATCATGAGTATGATAAAAATTGTTGACTGTTGTTTTGCTATATATATTGTCACCCAAATCCTTTACATTGACAATATTTATATTGGAAATTTTGACAATTCTCATAAATACTTTGGTTTGCTAACACACTTCTTGGTGTGGATCTTGATTTATTAGACATTTTCATGGCTTTGCAAGGTGAACAATTTTCCGCTTTATTAAATATGAATGTGTGCTTCTCCAGTCAATTCTATTTGTTCTTGTTATTTTACTGAATATTTATTTTTTGGCTTAGAAATTCCAGAATGATGATAACACTGAAACATGGCTCTGGTCCCTATTTTATTCAAAAAGTTCTTGATGCACAGCTTCTTAGGAATATTTATGCAAAAAAAATACTACCAATAAAAAAGAAAAAAATGTCCAAAAGCTGATTTTTAAATATTTCTGGTCCAGCTCAGGAAAGACTCAAGACAGCCAGATGTTTAGTCCAAAGGTCTACATGACCAACCTTCTCACAAAGGGCCACAACTACCACCACAAGCACTGGCAGCATAACAAAACCCTCTGGACATGGAGCTAGGTGAGGCTCTCCAGGTGGGCTGTGTCCATGCATAATAATGCACATTGCTGCAGGGAGAATATTATCCATGGCTCCACTGAAAAACACAACCAGAAGCTTGTATTTTGAGTTCCCTTGGGCCCATCCATGTAGCTTTTACTATGTTTTATTTTTCTGTAGCCAGAAAGCATGAATATAATAATATACATGTGAATATAATGTAAAAGAAGCTTCACCCCACAACAGGCAAAGGAGATTACACCCCATCAATCACAAGGCCTATACTTATTTTCTTAACACAAGATCTATAGGAAGGGGTTACACTAGGTTTCTTTGCAATGCATCCCTGGAAGGAAGTGAAAATTGTGTGTCTGCACCCACACCACTCTCATTATGACTCATTGATATTTTCTTTAAGTGAGACCTAACTTTTAAATTAAAATATTTTCTGTTTGCTTTGATATTTAGTTTCATCTTTAGTTATCAAGTACTAATTGTATGTTTTTCTGTGATGCAATGCTATGTGTGGATATATATTTACATTATCTAATGATCAGATCAGGAGTTTAAAATATTCAGCACTTCTTGTCTTGTTCTACTTGGATGAATGTGGACAGCAATTTTGTTTTAAATTCAAATAATAATATTGATATTAAATATCTCTCATTACTTTCCTGATAGTATCAAATGCTCTCTATATTTGAATAAGTATAGAGTTTTATTCCTTGCAGAAATGTGAGGCTGTTTTTTAAAAAACACTATTCATTTTTGTAATGACTCATTTAGGATAATTCTTTGCTCAAAATATTTTTGAGTATTTACAGCAAGCTCATGTAAATTTTATTATAAAGACACTTTAATTATGTTTCATATATTCACTTTCCACTAAAATAATTACTATAAGAGTACACTTTTTTCAGTACTGGGAATTGAAACCCAGGCCTTCATGTTGAGGTAGATCACTGGCTTTTTAAAATTTTTTTTCATTTTGAGACACACACTTGCTGAGTGTTAAACTGTTCCCACTGATTATGAACTTGCAATCATCCTGCCTCAGCCCCCCAATCCCTAGGTAGGATCACAGGCATACCCCACCATGTCCAATTTCTATTCCATCATTTTAGAAGTAACTCATCTGTAAATTCATTCACACTCATTATATATTGGACTGTCTGCTTAAATACTGTTTTTATGATTTCACCTTCATTTTTTAAGCTTCAGTCACATGGATAAATTTTAAGTTTTATTTTTAAAGTCAAAATAGAAAAGGTTTTATTTTTTCATTTTAAATTTTATTAGTACATATTTGCTGTACATTGTGATTGCATTCACTGTGGGGAATTTGTGCATGCACATAACCCATCTCAATTATTTCTTCTCCCCCATCCTCCCAAGCTTGTTTTTCTTTTTTTCTTTTGGCAGCATCTGAACTGCTTCATCATCTTCTATTTCCATATAAAGTTAAATATCATATATACCAATTCACAGCCAGAATAACAGGACAAAATTGTAAAACACATATGACAGTTATACTAAATCAAGACAACATATACTTTCAGATATAGTGTACATTCTAGTTTTTAATGGATTTTCTTCTCTCTCTTTTTTGTGTTGTCTGTGTTTTCTTTCACACTTTATTTATACATTGAGTATTTTACATAAAAGAAACCATGTGATTTTTAAGTTCATGTGTCTGATTTACTTCACTTAATATCATGGTTTCATGTTGCACCCATTTTCCTACAAATGACTCAGGTTTATCCTTCTTTACAGCAGAGTAGTACTCCATTATGTATGAATAAATTTTCTTCATTCATCTGTTGATGAACATATATGCTGTATCTAAAATTTAGTAATTATGAATTATGTGACTATAAACATGGGTATAAGTTGTCTTTCTGTCTTTTGGGAAGAAACTGAGAAGGGGAATAGCTTAGTCAAATGGAATTTGTACTTTCACACTTTTGAAAAATCTCCAAACTGATCCATAGTGGTTGTACCAGTTTACACTCCAACTAACAATGAAGAAGTGTTCCTTTTTCCTGACAGCCTTGCCAGAATGTATACTATTTGCTTTCTTGATGATAGCCAATTTTTCTGGGTAATGATGGAATCTCAGTGTTGTTTTAATTTGCAATTCTCAAGTGGCCAGTGATGTTGAGTTTTTTTGTTTTTTTTTTTTCATTTATTTCCTGGCTGCTTATAGTTTTTCATCTGAGAAGTGCCTATTCATTCCAATTGCCCATTTTTTGATTGGGTCTTTCAATTTGGTGTTTTATTTTTTGAAGTTCTTTACATATTCTATATCACTCCATTGAAGAGGACCTGGCAAAAAAATTCCCTATTCTGTAGGTTGTCTCTTCACTCTGTTCTTTTTGTACTAGGGATTGAACACGGGACCTTGCAAGGCAGGTGGAGGAACCATTGAGCTAAATCCCTGGCCCTGTTGGTTGTTTACTTTTCTGTGCAGACCTTTTAAATTTGATCTGATTCCATCTGTTGCTTCTTGGTAATATTTCTGGTGGAATTGGAGTTTTGATCAGAATGCTTTGATCACCCATATGACTCCAGGCATTTAACCTATTTTGTCTTGCGGGAGATTGTTTCTCTTCTAAGCTTGAGATTTTTGGACCATTTCATTATAATTTAGTACATGGTAAGAGATATGTATGTTCAATCTTTATATAGTCAGGTTTCCCAGCACCATTCATTAAAGAGGCTGTCTGTCATTCAGTGAAGGGATTTACTCCTGGTCAAAGATAACATAGTTGAGTGTGTCTGGAGTTGTTTCTGCATCTTCTGTTCTGTTCCTTTATCTACAAGTCTGGTTTTGCCAATACCATGCTGTTTGTATCACTGTATCTCTGCAGTATAACTTATGTCTGGGATTGTGATGGCCCCTGCCTTGACCTTGTTGTTCAGAATTGCAGATGCATAACTCTGATGAGGCAGAGGTTTAGGTAACTCAATTTCACCTTTTCCTGCACCATAATCATCCACAGATGTGTTTACTGATTTGTCACTGATGTTTCATTTAACAAGAATTTTTCACTTTGTTGGTGTTTCCACTTTCATGTGTAACATTCTTATCATATGAAGTATTTAGTTATGTGTTGTTTAATTATATAAGCTAAGCCATCATGGGGGCTGGTAATTCCAAAGATGTTACTAATTTCCTTCTTGCTTAACTTTAAGATATGGCCTGAATTCTGCCTGTTATATAAGAATATACTACCAATTGAGTTTTTAAAACAGTGATTTTCATTATTTCACAGCAGTGGCTCAGAATATGAAAAAATAATCTACCTTCTAGCATTTCAGTAATGTCTGATAAATATGTATTTACATAGCATGACAATTAAGTAATTGTTCTGAAGCCTTTTGAGGCACTGACCTTAGTCATGAGAAATCCACCCTCAAGTTCTCATCTAACCTCTATTATATCCCACAATCAAAACCACTTATAATGTTTCATTTATGCCTCATTTATGCCTCAGTTCATATAACATGAATATGGGGGAGGAACATGAGCATTCCCCTCATAAATGGCATTGTATGGCATTGCAATATAATCATAGATTAGTTCTTAACCAAAACAGACCTCTGTGCTCTCTATGCAGTCAGATGCCCAACAGCTACCAGAATGGTCTAGCCTTCATATTTGCCATAGAAGAGATCAATAAGAATCCTCAACTTTTACCCAACATATCTCTGGGATATGAGTTCCATAATTTCCTTTACAGTCACTGGAGGATGCTGGAGAGTTCTCTCATTTTGCTCACAGGACAGAATAAGATCCCTAATTACTCCTGTGGGAGAGAGAGCAAGTCTGTAGCAGTGCTAACAGGAACATCATGGGCAACTTCTGCTCAAATTGGAGCCCTCCTGGAGCTCCACAAATTTCCACAGGTTAGGATCAGTGAGATGGACAAAGATGAAATCGTGTCTTTATTGATGATATTATTGGGTCCCAAAATAGGGTGGAAGAAGGATCCCAGTTAAAAAAATACATCTTTACCAGTTTGTTATTTCAATGTGAAAGTATACAGAGATTTGGTGGTTTGCTCATAATTTCTTTGTCTGAGGGAAAAATTGGGGGAAAAGAAAACAAATGTGTTTCCTAAAAATGTATGCCTTATCATTGTTTTCTGAACAGCTTTTGCAAAGTGAGATAATTACAATGAACAAATGAATATGTATCTCCTTCTACTCCTTCCAGCTTTTACTTAGTATTCTCTGGGCATGAGGTTCTGCTTGGTGTCAATGCTCTTCCTTCCAATTTTCTTTCCTTTCAGGTTACATTTGGTTCTTTTGATCCTATGCTAAGAGAAGACAGTTTCTTTCCCTCTATCAGGTCGCTCCTAAGGATATATTTCTGCCAATTGCTATGGTTTCTTTGATGCTTCATTTCAGCTGGACCTGGGTGGGACTGATCATTATGGAAGGTCAGAAAGGTCTTCAATTTCTCTCAGATGTGATAGTAGAGATGGAAAGGAGCAAAGTATGTGTAGCCTTTGTGAAAATGGTCTCAACTCCTGTTACATCATATGCGACAATTGCAAAAGAACACATTATCCCAGCAAAGGAAATATCACATGTCATTGTGGTCATCATTTACTATGACACTGATACTCTCAATGATATAAACTATAGTATAGAGCAAAATTCACTAACAGGCAAAGTCTGGGTCACAAACTCACAGTGGCATGCTGACATGATTGGGAAAAATTTCATACTTAATTCGTTCCAGGGAACTCTCATTTTTTCAAATCACCATGAGAAAATTTCTGGTTTCAAAACCTTTGTCCAAGAAGCTAAGCCTTCCAAATATCCAGAAGAATTTTACCTCACTATGTTTTGGTTCAATAATTTCCATTGCTCATTCTCCGATTCTGATTGTTTACTGAAGTACTGTACACCTAATGCCTCTCTGGCATGGCTGCCTATGAATCATTTTGACACAGCCATGTCTGACTGGAGTCAAAATGTACACAATGCTGTGTATTCTGTGGCCCATGCCCTCCATGAGATGCTTCTTCAACCAGCACAATGGCCACCAATGGGAAACAAAAAAGTGATGGTGTTTGCCCCCTGACAGGTAAATGATCTTTTTTTGTAATGGCATGCAATGTCATCAAGGGTTTGGAACACTTTATCCAAAGGACAATCAATTGTACCCTAGCTCATTTTTAAGGGGATAAATTTTGAGCTGGATAGACAAGGTCCCTTAAAAAGCAGGCCCAAACACCAAAATAAAAAAAAAATATGAGTCAAGATCAGTGCTTTTTTCTAGATAATATAATCGAAGTATTTTTCCATTAACTTCTTAAAGGGGACCAGAGAACCTTGTAATTCTTGGATTTAAATGATGCTAAACCCTATAATAGATGTATCTTAAATTTCACACTTCATGCTAGAATATTGTTTGCTAGTGACAACTTCATTTTTCAAATACGTGGTGTGGGAACATCAAGAGAAAAAATTAATAAAACATCCAATACTACTTTTTCTAACACTTAGTTTAGATAAAAATTGTTCTCCTCAGTTTGATTGACTCATTAGGGAAAGTATGATATTTTATCTTCTATAAGATTTTATTCATTCTACTTTATTAAATGTCAGTATAATATTTGCCTTATGAAATAAAGATTAAAGATAACTAGGAGCATTTTCAATTCATTTTTGTCTCCATCAAGAAACCCTGTTCACCAGAGGATGATGTGTCTCCTGTAGCTGCATCCTTTTCTGAAGAACATCCAATTTGAAAATCCTGCTGGATACCAAGTGAACTTGGATGACAGAAGGAAACTGGATGTAGTATATGACATTCTCAACTTTTGGAATTTTCCAGGCCTTAGACTTAAGGTCAAATTGGGAACATTTAACCCACATGGTCCTCCTGGGCAAAAATTGTCTTTATCTGATGATATGATCGAGTGGGCCACAGGAATTACAGAGGTGAGTTAGACATAATCATGATGTACTTCATTAACAACAAATAACCAAAATTGTTGTAGACTTTGTATCCCAAATTTTGTCATGAAATGGGAAACTATAGCAATTTAAAAATCTCACTTTTAGATTTTATCAATTCTCTCAATTATTAGCTTTCCCATGAATTTGTATGGAACATATTTGTTTAACTATATTTTGTAAATATATACTTTAATTATCAAAAGTGATAATATTATTTATGTATGCACACAAGTTGTTTTTCTCTGAAGCTCTGAAGAAGTGCTAAAATTCTAAAAACTCACCCATATATATGTTTTCCTCAGACTCCACACTCTGTATGCTGTGAGAGTTGTCATCCTGGATTCAGGAAATCCCCTCAGGAGGGAAAGGCTGCCTGTTGTTTTGATTGCATCTGTTGCCCAGAGAATGAGGTCACCAATGACACTGGTAAGACCTTGTCTTAGGGACAAATTCTAAATGTTCCTTTAGTATGTACCCCAGCCATCCAGGAAATGGAAACAAAATCTTCCAAAAGACAGTGATGACAAAATTCTTTCTTCCTTTAGGTGGAAATTTATTCCCTCAAGTCTGTGCTATTATGCATTTAAAGACACATTGTCTGTCCCTTGAAGTATAAATACTCACAAATTCATTTTCCTTTCCTTCTTTATGTTTTCTTTTCCTTTGACATTGGAGAAGATTGAAATGAGAGGCACCCTCACCCTGAGCTGTATCTCCATCTTTTTACATTTTGTTAATTTTTTAGTTTTTAAAATTTGGTTATATTATTTCTTTTTTAATTCATTAAGAAAATTGGTACATTTTAGGTATACAATATGATAACGTTCATAATGGCAATTTGTACCTTTACATAATACATCTTGGTTTTTAATTTTTCCCCATTCTCCTGCTCCCCTTCAACCCCTACATCCCTCCCAATTTACAAAGACATTGTTTCTGTTTTGTCATTCTCTCATCTTTTCTCTTTTCCCTTCTTTCTTTCCCCTACCCCACTCACTTCCCCTTCCCTTTTCTTTCTATTTCAGATTGTCTGATATACATTTTGATCCTTATTTACACTTACAGTTTTTCACACCAGAGAAATGATTCGATATTCACATATGTGTGTCCTATTTATTTCACTCAGGAATATGGCCTAAATTTGCACCCATTTAACTATAAATATCTCTAGTTTCTCATTCTTTATGTCTGAGTAGTATTCAATTTTATTTAAAAAACATACTTTTATCCAGTCACTAGTTGATGGGCATTTGGGCTGTTTCCAAGATTTAACTATTACAAACTGCCACTATAAACATGAGTGAGCATATATCACTGTGGTATGATGCTTCTAATTATTTCGGGAAGATACTCTTGTTATTTTGAGAAAAATCTTGGTAATTTTCACCAGCCTGTTCCAGGTTATTGAGTAAGTTGGGATCACAACTACACAAAACTCTACCAAAATATTTTGATTTGTTTTTCTAGACCCACTGAAATCATTCTTTTGTCAGGAGAAACCTTTTCTCCCACCCCATAGCCTCTGAGTTCCATCTTTACCAGGAAGCTTAACACAGAGCATTATTGAACAATAGCTATTCACATGATTGAAATGTCATTTTGATTACACTAGAGATGAAACTCCAGCATATCCCTATTTTTCAGGATCTAGCTCTAATCTTGACAGAAAGAATATGCTCAGAGAGATTGTGTCTGGCTTGAGACAGAGATATGTCTCTATTGTACAGCATGCCTAGAGTACAGTATGACATCAGTTACTAGGATGTCATCCCTCTGTCCCTAGAAGTCACTCATCAGTAAGGGAAATAACATACATCATGAAACATAATTTGTGCCACAGAGCTGTAGGATGATATGCATTCAGTCTAAGGGATTTAATTAGTGATGGTAATCCATATTTTGTGCAAAATATCAGACATATTCACAAAAGAAGTGGCATTAATACTTGTTCTGTTTTTGATTTCACAAAATGTGTCCCCAAAATTTCCTGTGTACAGAATATCATTGGATTATAGAGTGCTATACTCATCAGTGCGTTAATCAAGTGATGAATCCATAGCTGAACATGCTGTTAGGAGCAGGCCTGGTTAGAAGAGGCATTTCACAGTGGGTGTGACCTGGAAGAGCACATCTTCCTTTCAAAATTATCCCTTCTTTCTCTCTCCCCTTCCAGGATTTTTATTCTCTCTCTGTCTCTCTCTCTCTCTCTCCTCCCATGGATGAGTAGCAGTCCCTTGTCCTGATCCATAACATTTCTACTTTAAGCCCACTGACTATGAACTGAATTCTGAGGCAAAATAGAATTCTCCACTCCTAAGTTTTCCATGTTGGGTTTTTTGTTCCAGGGATGAAAAATTGACTTGTTCGGTATTATACCAAAAAGAAATATGGTGGCATAAATTCTTGTTTACAATTAGTAGAAGTTCCTGAAATGATAAATTCCCTCTTATGTATTACCTAAAAGGCTGAAAAATGAAATAATATGACTTTGAAACTCAGATAATAGGAGTGTGAGAATTGAGACGCTGTATAAGAAAGTTTACAGAATTCCAATACTGAAGAATTTTGCATACTATAGTATGACTTCAGAAACACTTGAATGGATTATAAACCATTACCTGGTAGAATCACCTATCTACTGGGTATTTTCTAATTTGATTTTTGGGCTGAGATATGTTTTGATTTTACAACCTACTTAGTATGGTTTCAAATGTGTTTTGAAATGTACTTGACTGTTGATGTACCTTAGTTAATTTGGGTATGTATTCTTTGTAGAGTTCAAGGATATGGTATTTTATGTAAGTTTTATTTTATGTGGACATATAGAGAACCACGCATCAAACAATATCAATTTGTTTAGGCTTCTTGTTTATAAATAACAATTTCCAACAATTGTTTCCTCATAGAGTAGTTTGAAATGCAAATTAACAAGCATCTGTACTTGAATATATGACATCAAATTTTATGAGTTGAAGCAAAATCAATCCTTAGTAATAAATGCATGTTTCAGAGTACATATACTTATGTGCTACTATAAATACTTATTTAGTTAAAGGCTGGAGTTCTATATTTGAAATATTTTTTCAAGCTATATAAAGAAGAGCAAATTAATAATACAAGATGGGAAATAATGTAATAGGAATTCTTAGAAAATTAAAACACAAATAAAAAAATAAACAGAACCAATGTTGATTCTGGTAAAAAATTGACAATAATAAAACATTTGTAGGGACAGGAAAGACAAGTTTCAAAAAAAAAAATAATACCATAACTGAAAATTGTGTCATCCTTTACAAGTGTACAGGAAATTTTCCTTATGAAAATATAGTTTACTGTTCCACAGCACTGTCTTTGAAAGTTTACTTAAAACTCACAAATTACAGGAAATATTACCCAAAGAGTTGTAAGAAAAAATAAAATAAATTGAGAAAATGCTGTCTACTAAACAAAATAAGTCCTTGACTTAATATTTTCCCCAAAATTTTATGTGAATTAAGTTTTGAAATAACAAAATATCATATCTACCATATACCCAGTAGTACCATCCATAGTCTATACATGAAGAAATTATTGAGCATTGTACTGAGATACCTTCCTGCCTATGTTCATTGTAAACAATGTATAGTAGCCAAGATTCAGCTGGGGTTGCCATTAGCAGGTTAATAGATAAAGAAATACAGTATATAAACACAGTGAAGTGTTCAGTCATAAAGAAATATGCAAGTTATGATGTTTTCATGAAAAGAAGGAAACTTGAGATCCTCAGGTAAAATGAAATAAGCCAGACTCATGAAGAGAATTAATGCATGTTCTCTGTAATATGTTGAATCAAAACCGATGGCATAAAAGAAGAAGGGAGTGTATTAGAGAAGGGTCAGGGAATAAGTGGAAGGGGCTGTAAGAGAGGAAAAGGCAGGGACAAAATATATTATGCACATGTAGAAAAATACCACATTGAATATCAATGTCACATAAAATTTATAGGCACTAATAAAATATAATAAAATAAATGCTATGAAGATTCAAAAGTGAAAAATATAACAGTGCACAATGAACATGGGCAGTCAGGTATCTCAATAGAATGCTGACAAATTCCTTCATATATATGATATATATTATATATAATTATGTAGTATATATATTATGGATAATATAATATATCAAAGTAGTCAATAGCATGCTAATGCTGATTTAATCTGCTTCAGAGAAAATGAAAGTGAGAAAATACCTTATGTTTAGAGGAAAGCTAAAGAAAATGTAGTATTTATACACAATAGAGTACCACTCTGCCTTAAAGATGGATAATAACATGAATCATTTGTAAGAAAATGTATGCACCTTGAGGCCATAATGTTAAGTAAGTCTGACACATGAGCATAAATATTGCATAGTTTCTCTTCTATGAAAAACTCAAGATAAAAAAATTAAATAAAAGATAATGATAAAGAAAGAGAGAGAGAAATAAAGTTACTGTACTTCATCATAGAAAATGTATCAGAAAGTGTTCCTTAATTTTGTGTAATTGTTTTACATGTTTTTGGCCTATTAATCTGGTTGTCAATCTGTAAATACAATAATTAACTGTGTTGAGATTTATAAGAAAAATAAAAGAATTAGATACTGCCACAATAAAAGAGGAGTGCAAGGAAGGAGGAAAAATTCTAAAGTGTTACATATACATACCAATTCCCTACATTGAATGTATTAATTATGTATTGCAAACATGTATAAATTAATATTTTTAAAAAGAGAGAGAAGCTACATTATGTTATCCACAGCTCCTAATGATTACAAGAAGCTAATTTTACAAACCACGTTCCTTGAGGAAATAAATTGGTGTATTTAATTCCAAACTGAGATTTATATTCTAAGGAGGGAATCCATGACCAAATTCAGTTTATGAAATATAACTGTGTACTGCTTTTGTACTTTTGTGAAAATAGAAATAATATCAATGAATGAAGAAAAATGTACTAACGTTGAAATTTCATGATTTATAAAGAAAAACAACATTTAATAAACTAAGAATACAAAGAAACAGTTTACATTCTATGAATGGCATTTATTTATTTTTTTAAAATTAATTTCATTGGTACATTTTATTGGTACATTTTAGGTATACAATTCATTTACATTTATCATTGGGTGTTTGTACCTGTACATGATATATCTTGGTTCTTATTTTTTTCCCCATTACCTGTGTGCCCTTCACCCCTTCCACCCTTACATATTTACATAGATTTCATTTCCATTTTTTTTTTCTTTT